AGTGAGGAGGATTGTTCGGATACAGAATTACGTTGCTATTGAATTAGTCGTAATCGGGCTGTGTCATCTGTCCTTCTCTGAAATAGAACCTAGATTCCACGTGGTTGACACCGAAAAATGTGATATCCGATAGGAGGGGTATGATATAAAACGCAGCAAAAATTCCAATTATTGAAGCAATCTGGGATACCGTTGAGTTTATCAACATACACACACACACACACCTGGTGAGTCAATCAACTCTGCATTCTCATCATCACCGTTAACCATACGCTCGTCCCGCTCTCAGACATCGTTAAGAAACCTTAGTAATGATCTTATATTTAAGAAAGAAACTACCTGGTGTATAGAACCATATGTCGCTTCATTCTCTTCTATAAATACCCTTTTACGATCTTGATTGCTTGCTAAAAAAACTCCAGAGTCATTGTCAAAACACTATTTTATGCCATAATTTATGCACATCACGAACGCGTCCTACCATGTAGTCAACCTGTTTCCACCTCTCCATAGTATCCTCTTGCCTTTGGAGTTTCACTACATCTCAATGCCAAAATTAAAAGGCTTTAAAGGTGCCTTAGAAGCTTATATCAAGCAGAGCTTACGATCAAACACTTGTCTCACTATTATTTTCATTTTTTGACGTATGGATTCGTCTGATATTGTGCAGAAAATCGTTCATTCACTCTGCAGCAAGTAGTCCTTACGCTCGTTCATCCATAGATGTCGTAGGTCCTCCAGATATTAAACATGAATTCGAAACGTCGTACCAATGATTATTCTGATGATGAAGGGACGCCTCGTCACAGCCGTGGCGAGTCGTTTAGGCGTGAGCGTCGTCCAAGTCTTGAAAGGAGAGATTTCCGCGACCGCGATCGTGATAGAGACCGAGATCGTGATAGGGATAAAGATAGAGAAAAAGACAGAGAGCGCGATAGAGATCGAACACGCGATCGCGACTATGATAGAGATCGGGATCGTGACCGCGATGCATTTGGAGATCGGAGAAAAAGAGAAAATAGTAATTCCCCTGCTGACGATAGAGGTAACGAAGCGCAGCTGACGTGGAATGAACTCCAAATAAAATCATTATAATGTTTATGTTGTCAGTTGTCACTATATTTGTTCTTTGCTGATATTGATTCTACTTCAGATCGGCGATTTAAAAGAAGGCGATCTTTATCACCGAGAAGGTCGGAAGGTGCTCTTGGGGGAGATCTTTACATTCCCGACTATGATAAAGATGGATATGCACCTGGGCCGAGATATGGGAAGCCAACAGAAATGCGTTATCCACCGCCACCATATCATCCAGTAATGCCTATGGGTAGCTTTCATATAAAAATAAGCGATTATTGTTTCAAGTTTATAAATGATGCTTTATTCAAAGATTTGACTTTTTTATAGGATTTAATGTTCCACCGCCTCAACTGATGCCACCAGGAGGTCCGTTGATGCCTATGGATTGGACAGGACCCCCAGGAAGGTACTAAGCGCATCGATTTATGATGTTAGCCCGTCTTGCCTGAATCGTATTTTGAATAACTTTACCATCTCGTAGACAAGAACCGCCGAAAGATCCAGCAGAATTAGATTTTCTCGTCACATACAAATACTTTGTCGATTATCTCATGTATAAAAACCCAAACACCCGGTGCGATGACGAGGAACTTCATAGAAAATATAGTGCATATAAGGAGGAATTTGGTTTCCGACAATTGCGTACGTTCTTTGAAACTCACAAGGAAGAAGAGTGGTTCCTTGAAAAATATGAACCAAAACATTTAAAACCGCGTATTGACGAAGCCAATGAATTGAAAAAGAAGTTGTTTGAGAAATTTGTCGAGGAACTGGATGAAGGAAAATTTGATGACATATCAAATGACACAGTCGAACCAGTGGAAGGAAAAATAGATGGTACATAACAGTGTATACGCGGTCTTGTATATTTTTTTTTCTTGTAAAACCATTAACTTTCATTGTGTATTCGATAGAGAGCGGATCAGAACAGAAAAACGAACAAGAAGAGGAGAGTAACAGACTTTTCATTAAAAGTGTGCCTCCAACAATCTCCCGATCCAAAATCGTTGAGGTATGCGAACGACACCTTGTCACGTTTGTTAATGGCACGTGAGATTTACACGTTTTTAATTTGCGGTTGTAGATGTGCGAGCGAGTCGAAGGTTTTAAATATCTGGCTCTTTCCGAGCCAAATCCTCAAAAGAAGTTTCACAGGTTAGGTTGGATTGTCTTTACAGAGGAGACAGATATGGATGAGGCGTTTAAACAACTTAACGAACAGAAAGTGGGTATTTTTGTTTGTCTGAGCGATACATAATCCTTATTACTAACATAGCCGTACTCTATTTTAGATCGATGATTTTATTTTCTACCTTGCTCGACACAAGAGTCACAGCGGTCCTGTTCGCAATCGGGTTGCTCCCGAAACAGCTACCACACCCGAAAGGTTAAAGAAAGATCTTGAACGTGTAGAGGAACTTATAAGCAAACTAGACAATGACATTGGTATCGTTGGTGTCAAGGAAAAGATTAAAGATAGGCTCGAACGACTTACAGAAAGTGTAGACGATGAAAATATGCGGGTATGTAACATACTTGTATCCGTGTCGACAAACACCCGATTGCAGTTGCTCACATTATTTGCGATATATCTAAACAGATTAAGAAATCTTTGGATCTTCACATGGAATACCTACGTCGAACTCATTTATTCTGTTACTATTGCGGTAGCGATTCTGATTCTATGGAAGAATTCACTAGAAAATGTCCCGGCCGTCATTTGAGGAAGTCCGCTGCAACTAATGAAACGAAAGCTCCCTCAAAAAATCCGAAAGAAAAATCCAACAGCGGTATTTACATGATTTAGCTCTCGATGTTATACAAATTAAGTTTTAAGCTGACCCGTTCCCAATCCTAACAGCAGCACAGTGGATTAAAACACTCGACAACAAAATTGATTTAAAACTGCATCCCCAGGAGTTCCTAGAAAAAATCGGAACTCTTGGAGGAAAGAAGGTGGAAACGTATGTGCTTTAATACAGTTTGTCGATGTTACGTTTGCTTTGATGCTAATATATATATTTGAATAGTGAGATAGATAATCTCATACGGGACAATACTGCAGAAATGGAACCAGGAGTTAAATTCCGATGTAAATTATGTGGTAAACTATTCAAAGGTCAAGAATTTGTACGGAAGCATATCAATCTCAAGCACAACGACAAACTGGAAGAAGTTAGAAATGATGTAAGTCACTCGTTTTTGCATTCATTCAGGTCCCGTTACAGCATGTTCTAATACATTAAAATGGACAGTGTGCATTCTTTAATAATTATGTGCTCGATCCGAATCATCTTCTTCCGACAACACCTCCAAACCCGACAGCTGGTTTATTGGTACCGCAAAACAATCCTCCCGTACCACCTAATCCATTCCCAGTTATACCTAATGGACCGCCACCACCATTCCTTGGCTTCAATTTCCCTCTCATGGGAGCAGCAGCAGGGACACCACATGATCAAATCCCGCGTATAGGGTTCGATGACAGGGGGGATATGCGTGACAGTCGTGGAGGAAGAAGATCTCCCGGAAAAAGACAGCCATCCTCTCGCTCTAGGCTCAAGTAAGCATATATAAATAACTACGCAACATTTTCTGTTTAAAATGACGATGAGTATCTCATGTTGAATTCTTTATCATAGCGATGCGAACATGAGTTTCGATCCGCGTCAGGTGAAGTCATACGTTGATTTAGATGCACCAGCTGAAGGTGATATAGAGATTCAATATTGATATCAAGTAGATTCGATACATAATAATAGCGTTTGCATCAGCAAATACTTCAGACACTAGCGTTCTAGCAACTATTGCTTTCCCTCTCATTCAGTGACTCGCACCTTTTCATCCACTATGTATGCAAAAATTCTGATACTTTCTTACAATTTAGCACCTGGTATTAACTGCCAGAGGCAAAGATTAATTGAATACTGGTATTTTTATTACATTTTCCGCAATAAACATGCTGCAGATTGCTGATATTACACAACCTTTCCGACAATATTATATCTTTCCGAAAAGAAAGTGTACCATTTATCAAGGACCTCTAGCTGTAGTTACAAAGAATGTTGGCGTATGATTCTGATACGAATTTAAACAGGGCTGCAAGATGACTTACTTGAGATTCGTCCAATGTACTAACATCAGCAACTACGTCTTGGGGATCCGTCGAGCTCTTGCCCAAGGCCTAAATTGTGTATCATTGTTAACGGACATAGACCGAACATTTTCTCTGTGTCAAACAAGAACCAGTCGCATTACCCTAGATGCATCCTTTCCAGCAAAAACACTGTAAGCGCCTCCGGGGCCGTACAATTCCCGCTTGGAAGACACATCGAATACCGTCCCCTTCACGGCAACATAAATCGCTGTATTTTCATCTGAGCCAGTAAACTGTTGTTTACAAAAAGTAATCACATTAACATCTAACAGTCTAGTATGATAAGAAATGTTTGGGTACACCTGCCTGAGAAAGTTGCTCTGAAGTGAAAGGAGTATCTTTCGGAGGATCGAGTTTTGTATCTTTAGGTGGTCCAAGTCCCCACAGTTGACTGAAATAATCGAACGAGCGTTACCTTTCAAATTGCCGTACCAGTGTTTGCGTTGAACGGTGAAACATGCTTGCTATATCCTTTCCCCTCTTGCCACAATGAATATTCTAAATACTCACCCCATACTTATGACAGTTGTTTGTTTCTCCGCTGTATTGTTATGTTGCAGGTATTAATATACATTGATTGTTACACAGGTCAATCATGGGGGGAGCACGCCGGCCGGAATAACAACGTAACAGGAATAGATCTGACAGAAACTCCCACAGCGTATGGCACGATCGTAACATGCAGTATTATAATATATATCCCATGTCCCTTACTAAATTACCCACGTTATCACAAAGGTCTGACATCGTTCCAACACAGTAGGATCTCACATACTAGTATCAGAAATAGACAAGGACGGTATAAAATACGTCAATAATTACAGAATTAGTACAACAATCAGGACCGATTTCTAATATACGTTAAGCGATGTCCGACAGCGTCAATGGATGTAAAAAATCGCGGACACTTTTCTATTAGGATTATTGTTCTAACCGATGTATGATGGCGCGCATAATAAACTGCACTCGTTTTTACAGATTTCTATGGTTACATATAGCATGTCGGCTATAATCAAACACCGGACTATTTTTGAAGGTGAAAAAGACATTCTCGGAGAATAGGCCTTATACCATGTTATTCGAAAGTTGATGTTACGTGTCTTACCCAAATTAATATCCAACATGGGTGCCATGGTATATAGAACCGGAACATACCGTACTGCCAACTAAGAACAGATCAACAAATTTTTGACGCAGCTTCTTTGTAATCTTCACCTTGCAAACGACAAGTCATATACTTGCCTCTGATGCCCGAACATACCCGAATAAACGATGTGTGAAGAAAATCGCTAGCTGCTTGGGAAAAAACGTTGTTCAAACTATTAAAAACTAACAACGTTATTTTAATAGACCAACCACTATGAAAAAATAAAGTTATTTTTAGAAAAGAGTGTTAGTGACGATAAAGTTGCCCAGCACCTAACCCAGTTTATGGTGGTGCCATATGATTACTGGAAATCGTTTAAACATAAAAAACATAATCAAGAAAAAATTAACATGTTTGTATATTTGTTAAATATTTAATAAATATATATGCAGACGGCTTTCACCTTGTCAAGGATTACGTAAAAAGCTTATCTTAAGGAAAGAAAAACTTTATCTGTTTGAGTGTATCTTTAGCCAAACTAATGTTAGCCACATTCGCTGGTTTAAATATAATGTGTGAGGACATTTTTCACTCGAGTCAGATTACTGACAACTAGTTGACTTATACATATTACGTAAAATAATACAAGATTATAAATGTATGATAAATACATTGTTTATATTAATATTAATATAGATTCAACAGGAACGATTAAAGTTTTTCAATTTGCGTCATGTATTTTTACCAGTTAAACAATAGTCTTTATTACGCGTCTTGAATTAAATATACCATTTTCAAATTATACCGTCGAAATTCTTACGAACGAAAAATCCACGCTTTATCACGTTGTTTCGTTCTGTGCCTGAGCTTTGCAAAAAACACAAAAGTTATCAGTCTCAACTGTACGAAAAAAAGACGGTACTTTGAAGCATAGAGGCGGTAATGGCAGTCCAAAGAAATAGCGGCCAAGATATCAAAATCTATCGGCCAAGCTGTAACGTCACAATACATCAATACTCTGCTAATTATAACGTGTCCCATCGCACATGACAGACAAAAAGTCTTTAGGCTGTAAAAACGCCTTGGCTATATATAGCCACGCCAATGCTCACAAAAGTTTATAAGCAAAAACGTGTCGAACGAACCGAATGTCACCTTAACCACAATTAGAAAACAGTTGTACGCTGATAAAAAAATAACGAATTTTCAAATTTGAATAGTTTATGAATTCTATTCCAGAATCTGTTTTAGTAAACTCGCTGTAAGCTAGTTATTGATGACAACAGTGAACAGACAATTTTGACTCTAATTATATACCTTGCTGAATTTTAAACAATCGTATCAATTATTAGAATTGATATAGTTTGATATGTTTATAACAACTTTTTTATAGTCAAGCTTTTTTGCCACACATGTAATAACACTAAACTGCAAGATTACTCAAAATTGCGAAATAGAATTAAAGCAAGAACGTGAACCGACAAACAACCGTCGTTCAGAAATACGAGCTACGCAGTAAATTTAAACTTTGCTTTTACCTTGCAGCTGTTTACACGTGCTTGATCAATCTCTAAAATTGGTAAATTCATCACGTACGTTGTAACAAAAGTTGAAAGAACAAAGTGTTGCCCCATCGCATCGTTATTAGTGTCAATTCTATAGTCTACAACCATAAACTTGGTTGTTTTCGCTCGCAGTAAATATGCTAGCAAACTTTAAACGAATAGTAAGACGCTTACATAATTGCATGTAGTTGGCAAAACCGCTGCTGGGTAACAACTAAACACGCCGTTTTATTTTGCGAGAGGGGCTATGTATAAATCACGTGTTGATTAGTTGATTTGCATGTATTAATACATGGCGGGTCTAGCTTTTTTCGGCACTGAAGGGTCAAAAAAAGCAAACTAGACCCGAATAGGTTTGCGTGATCTCGATTACACAGATCTTGATTTTCTAAAAATAAGCATTTAAGTCAAAACCCGAGACTGGGATTCGGATGGCACACGGTCACCAAAGTTTGTCCAACGCATTTAATAATAATTCAAGTGAAAGAGTGGTAATAACTTGGTGGGCAAGACAAGGTTGCCAAAATAAACGTTAAAGACCAATTTGAGAACAATAAGAGCGGGGCATGTTGAAAATATTGACTGACCAATTAAAGTGACATTTTTTTTAATGATCGAATGTCAAAAGTCTCGGGTTTTTTCGCCACATGAAGTTCACATGCAGACTACAAAAACTGACGTAACCATCATTGTTCGATACGTCCTTTACTTTATGAAACTGTCGATTTCAAGCATTCATATCGTCGATGTTTATTGCTTAAAGTAGCAATATAGATTTCTAACTATTTTGAGCCTATTCGATCATATTTTTTTTCAGAGATTTACTTGTTAGCGTTAGATGCTATTAAATGAGTGTACGGTATTTTTATTCTATCCAATCAGATTTATGACTTCATTCCTATTATTGTTTATACTTATGAATGTGTAACCAACATATACGCCCACGTTGAAGTATATGCTTCCACTTAATTTAGATATGCCCCAGATATTCCCCGGGAGAATGTTTATACTGTGCTTTTGGGCCCAAACCCCAGATTGCAATTAATTTCCGACAATTACCGAAGCTTGCCCCTCATGTCCGTTAAAATTAATCTAAAAGTAATTTTGTGAAGATTTTTGAAAACGCGAATCCTAACATACATGTGAAATAGCATAATCAGAGTTAGCCAGATATTAATCTCTTAAAATATTAACAAGTAATTGTACTTTTTTTTCCGCTGCCAAATACAGTCAGGACTTACTCGAAAAGAAGCTACTGCATTCACTGTATTGGCAAGGTGGTGTGCATAAAAAATCGATCGAATTACTTGGTTTATTTTCATTGTTATTTTTACACACGATTTTGATCGGCTTCGGTTTGTCTTACTACGGACAAAATGTTGGGTTGTAAATCTGGGGAAGTTTCCGTTTCAATGGTTGCATCCGTTTCATTTGGCTTTCTGCAACGTCAATGGGAAATTAATGTTAAGTTTGCATTACTGATGGGGGAATGGTTTCATGAATTATTGTATTAGTATCCTTGACATGTGTACATACGATAACGTTCCGTCTGGTTGATTTGCATGCACTACACCAAATAAACGTTGCCGTTGTATATTTCCGCGCGAAAATAAATTCCCGGTTAGATCATTATTACATGTGTTCACACCAAACGGAACCATGTTATTATTATTATTATCATTACTATTATTCGCGTGAAGTAAATGTGCATCGTGCAGCACGATTCGGGACTCGGCGGTTCCGCCATGATCTTGGCAGAGTGGGCTGTCACTAGTCTCTTGTATTATTCTAGCGTTGGGCAACTCGTCAACAGACCCTTGGGTATTCTTCATATCGTCCATTAGTTGTCTTACAATACTTTTCAATTTTTCCAGCTCATGTTCAAGTTCTGCGTCTTTGGCCTCCAATTTGCATAGCCGATCATCAATCGATGCCTGTTGGGACTAAATGAGAAAGGCTAAGCGAACATCTTTTATGTGCCACATGAAATAAAGCTTCTTACCTGATTATGTATTTGTTCGTAAACGTGTTCCGAAGAACCTGTTTTGCCACGTTGTTCTTTGATGTTACAAGTATTGTCTGTTGAATATAGGCCTTGTGAGAAGCTGACCGTTGAGTGTGTTGGAAAAACATTGTTCGTAGGCTGTGTAAAGTAACTTGCACTATCGTCATCTCTGCTATCGTCCAAATCGAACATATAGCCCGTCTTACTAATATCATTACTGGATGTCGCTACGGTATCTTTAATTGTGAAAGGCGCGCTAATTGCAATCGAACTTGGTGTCCTGTAAAACCGGCTGTCGCGAGCACTGTTAGAGTATGGATATTGTCTCGCGTTCGATCTCTCCCACCTCTTTACAGGATCGACTTGATGATTATAAACGTTCGGTACGTCGTCGCCAGCACTTGGTGAGTTTATGAAATGACGCCAGCCTAACGATTGCGTTGAGGGTTGATGATCACTGCAAAGCATAGGAGAAAGAGAGTTTGCAGCCGTGATCTCCTCTATTCTCAATGTATCCGTAATGTCGTCAGGATGATCGCGTCTAAAACATTATTTGGGAGACGGGGGTTGGTTGGAATAATTCGCGCGTAATGGCATCAAGCGTCAAAAAAAAAAATAATTCACGTTCATACAAAACACCGCTTTGTGAGTTACTTGGCGGTTCACGCTCGGGCACACTTGCGTCCAATTCATGTCTGTACATGGCCGATATTAAGGACTGTTGTTCATCGCCACTTGCTGCGTCAGCTATTCTTTCATGTGTCCTTTCCTCCGCTATGCAGAGTATTGCTGGTGAAAAAAATAATGTCATGTTCCTTATTGTTTATATATTGTAATTGCTTACCAGGTAGATGCATATTCGATGACTGATCGCGCGACGGACAAGGCTAAGCAGTAGAAAAAGAGCCCATATGAGTATAGTCGAGCTTGATATCTAGACGATTTAAAATGTTGACTTACATCAGACGAAAATGTCCCAACCCAATTTTTGTCGCGAAGTAAGTTTTGCTTTCGTGTCGCCATATCTTTGTATGCAGTGTATCATTAGTAACAGAGATTATTATTGAGACTCGTATTAGTCCCTTACCGGCAGCAGGAGAGCGGTTGCGTTGTGCGAATGATGCTATATCAATTGAATCAATGTCTACAGCATCAAACAATGAACCGGTTACGTGTTCATGTTCGGGTCTATTATTTTCTATACGCGTCAATTGGTTAGTTTTTGGTTGGTTGAGGCTGCTAAATTTTGAGAGCATGTTTTCTTTTGGTGGGCCGTTATCGAGTCTTCGAAGGCGCTGCTGTTTGAAGAACTCTTTTTGCGTCCGTTTTTCAAATTTAACTTTAAGGCGGCTGTAAAGAATGATAAGTCACGAAAAAGTCGCCATTATTGCGCATTAAACTCTTCATTATACAAGGCACCTTTTCCCACTTGTCCAATTCATTATCAAGTAACATCGACAGGCTAGTAACAATATTAACAAATTGTATGATTTCAGTGTTTTTTTTATGTCTTATTTTACATTATTAAATCACAGACTGATATGTAAACAAATACATATTATTTTGTACTACGAATAGCGTGGGGGGGGGGGAGGGGTTTTACAAGTCTATAAATTTGTCACGAGATTCTACCAATAGAAAAAGTTCATTACACAACCAAAGTCCAATCATTGAAGAAAGCTGAAACTTTACAGAAAATGAGATTTATAAACAAAGGCAATTGTTTTTCATATTATTTGAGTGTACTTTTTCTCCTCGACTTTTTTTCCGTTTGAACTCCAGTACCATAATATGCAGATAAAGGTCTACTTCCGGACGAATAGGCATTGCTTAGTGTAGATTTTCGTGCCGCTGTCCGACTACCGCTGCTGCTAGAATGATTAGTTGAGCTAGACGATAAAGAACTGGCAGAATGTTGGAATGATGGTGAAAACATGGGTGAATGTCTCTCAGGCTGTGGAAAAGCGCGCTTTTGAAGTAGAGAATCTGAACAGCTTTTCCCATGTAAATATGGGTGATGCTGTTCCTCAATAATGCTATGCATCTGTTTGGACATGTAGCGAGATGGTAAAGACTGCGCTTGTAAACCGGGATGGTATTTACTTGACGGCGGCGGTACAAACGTGTTTGCTGTGATGTTGGGACGAGTATCTCCCGTCTCATCCATTAACTTGGCCCCAAGACGTTTCGAGTAACTACTGTTGGTACTCGCAGAGGGTGATGCATCATAACTCTTGCGCTTGTCGGTAGCGGTGTGCATCGCTCCGTCCACTGTATGCGACCTCTTTCTGTTTTCCATACCCGCAGATCCATCCAAGGCTCTTCTTGTCGTGCCATATTCCACAGCGCTATGCCGTTTATAAACGACATTTGACTTTGGACCATCAGCAAAACCATGCCGTTTTGAAACTGGCTTATTCTGTATCCCTACCATAGAAGTTAATTGTTCCTTATATTCTTGCTGCATCTGTATTAGCGTTGGTCCCATTGGTCGAGACGTATTCATCTCTGCCAATTTCTTATTAGCTAGGGCTCGTTTCGATGCTTTTTCTTGATTCTTTTTTAATTGCACAACGACCATTTCTTGCTGATATTTGTGATATTCGTGTAATGACATTCTCTTCATTTCCCTATGTTCATAGCGTGCAGGCGGCAGGTTAACGCCCGATAATAATACACTATCACTCGATCTTCGCGATGAAGTCAACATCTTGGTGCGCCCAGTTAATGAATCTGACAGCGGTCGGCGTTGTACGGGAGGTCGTCGAGGAGCTGAAAGACCTATAGGAACGTTGTCGTCGTCGTCATCATCATCATCATCATCATCATCATCCTCCTCCTCCTCTTCCTCCTCTTCCTCCTCCTCATCATCATCATTGTCATCGTCACAGTAATCATTCTCATATAACTGGCCGTCTTCATGAACTGAATCATGATAAGAAGTCTGGCGACTGGATGGCACGTAAAGGGAATAAGTCCTTGAGCCATATCTGCGCAAGCCAACCTCGCGATTTGCTCCGTCTGCACTAGCGGATGAAGTTGATGAGGACCTGGCCTCGCGTTCAAAAGCATCAAAGTTCTCGTTAGTATTGTTTCGACTATGAAGTCCTAAAGACGGTGCTGAGACTACAGACGACCGGCTCGACGATGATCGACTCGACGACGATGGGCTCGACGACGATCGACTCGAGCAGAATTGTCTGCTGGTCAAATCAGACCGAGACGAATAGTCTGCTGTTGATTGAGGTACAGTACTTTTGTATATTGTCTGTTTGAGTTCGGTGGCATAAACGAAAGACGAAGATGATCGCTTCTCTTGAGGTGGTGTACGAGGAACGACAGAATCGTCGTTCTTCTGAGAGATAGAATGTCCATTCTGCGAACTGTAAAACTCTGAGCTTGATGGGCGAGAGCGCTCCTGCGGTGTAGTAAGAGGCGTATGATCCTTTTCATCAGAGACTTCAATATATTCGCGCTCAATTTTCTCGGTTAAATTTAAGCTCGCCGGTTTTTCGCGGCTTTGACGGCGGCGTTCCCTCATACTTTTAGCCGCGTCTGAAGAGTGCCTTCGGATAGACTGTCTCTTCAATGGTGCATCCGCTGAGCGAGAAGATTGTATTAAAGTGTTCTTTGTGGATTCTTGCTGATCCCAAGGAAGGGAAGGTAACTCTTCCGGCGAAAAATTAAGAAGGGTACTCTGCCGTGAACGAGACTTGAGCAGTCGCTGCTGTTGCTGTTGTTGTGGTTGCTGTTTCTGTTGTTGTTGTTGTTGTTGCTGCTGCTGCTGCTGCTGCTGCTGCCGTTGCAGTGGCTGTGGTTGCGGTTGTGGTTGTGGTTGTGGTTGTGGTTGCGGTTGTGGTTGTTTGTGTTGTTCTTCTTCTTGCCCCTGCGGTTGCTTGTTTGGTTGTGATATCTGGTTTTTTATCCGCGACTGCTTATTTTTTTTTGACTGCTGTTGTTGTTTCTGTTGCTTTTCTGATTTCAACAGCTGTTCTTCCTCGCGTTTTTGTGCTTTGGGAGTTCCGGAAGCTTTCTTGGAAGAACCAAATAAGCGACTGTTTTTGAAAGGAGAGAATAGTCCAGAGACGTATTGCATTTTGAGTTATATTAATGATATTATATTATTTGTTGGAGGGTTAATAAATACATGCGTCAACAAGTTTTGAGAAAAGAGGCGGATGCACAACTCTTATATCGAGAATGATTGTACATGTAGACGGGAAAAAAGGAAACCCGAGTTGGCGGTCCGTGTTATAGTGATAATGTATAAATAACCATACCTTTTGCGATATTTTTATCATTGGAGTGTGAAAAAAGATATTTACGTGTGACTGCCGGGAAATTTTGTTGAGGAACGTTACCGTTTAGGGTGAAGTTTAGTAGTTTTGGAAATAGCACATAGCCAATAAATAGATATGGCGCTGTAACGTGTGGTCTATTATTTGATCAACAATTGACTCCGGGATGGCCGAGTTTTCGTCATTGAACACATTCATCCTCGCGAACCAATAGTCACGGCTCATGTTTCGTTGTTATTATGTTTCGTTATTGCTAATTTTATTGTCCTGATGTTAACTTATGAAATGTTATTCAGTATTTCCACCGGCTATATCTCCACCTTTGCAATAAAAAAATAACATTTCTTTTTTTCTCTCTCTCTATGCACTCAGGCTATCGATGTATATTTTCGAGCGATGATCAAAATACCAAAATAGTCTAAGACAAGGCTATGTAATACAGGCATTCAAACCTTTGTGCTATCCATTCCCCATGGATTTTCCCGATCAGACAGAGTTTTATTACTATGATGCTGTGCACCAACGCTAATACATATAGACAAAGCGCGCGAATGCCTAAAGTGCAACCTAATCGGAAATGAGACATCTTATCTCTAGAAATCTAATTCGGTTATCAACAATCGTTTTTCGGAGATGGTGAAATGGTCACTTCTCACGGTATATGACATTTTCAGTAATCACTTTACGCCATGATAAGAAAAGCTGTCACTGTCCGCAGTCGAATTATTATTTTGGAACAACGATAGTCCGTCAAAATGTCCTGTTATAGTTGACATGAAAATAAATGGGTTGTATATGGTTGGACCAAAAGAAAACAGATAATCATATGATTATCAGAAATCACGGAACGTTAAACTGATACTTGCATATTTTGTTTTTCTTTTTCGTAAAAGTGGGGTGATGTCAAGCCAAAATTTGAATGTCCTTTGCTAGTCTATCTTTTTTTCCCCCCCTTCCTTCCTTCCTTTCTTTTGTGTCTTTTCACAACTACATGCATCTCTCCTCACCTGTTTAATGCCGTGTGACGTTGAAAACCTCGCATTCGTTACACCCATGCTTATTATGGATTTGTACCAAAAATCTCCGGGACCTTTAATTCAAAGAAAAGATTTAAAACTCGACGGGCAAGCATTCCCCTGCACAGGTGAACCATGTCATCAATAGTTAGGACAATATTCACCTGATAATACGGTTTAATTTGTGCTCATTGTGGAAATTAGTTCTTTATGAAGGTATAATTATCTTTATTATTCGCGTGATACTCGATATTTTCTATGCAGAATTTTGCATATCACCAGACGAAATGGATCCTTTCTTGGGTTTTCGACGATTGAGTATAATAATTACGTTATTGCTGTGATATTTGTTATTTCATGTGCCCCATATTTCTAATTGTACATTACGGAACATATTTGTTTGCATGAATGGCATTGTACGACATGTACAATTGGTGTTAATTAACCTGTCGCTTTCCAACGAACACTCTGGTCAAGTTGTTATTGCATACTCTCCAGTGCAAGTATTACCTATTATGATGTGTATGTGTACAGCACGTAGTAATATCACAAACTACCAAACATGTTGCGATTTTCAGTGAATCACAACATGTCTATATTTAGAGAACTCAATTTTGATGTAACTGATGTCATCGTGCTTGGCATCTGAGCCACCGACGATTTCGGGGTGGGGAAATTGTTAAAATCGCCTATTTTTTTTTTTACGCCTAGCTGCAATAAACATCAAATAATAACAATAACAACAGTCAGTCCACTCTCAATAACACCAACTGAACATAGCCACGAATAGGACTCAAAAGTACAAACGCCTCTTGTACTCGCATGTACAAATTTTGCAAATATTAAAATTAATGTCAACGCCAGATGTCTTGATTGACATAACAATTACGAGTATCATAACGCAAATAGGATATATTAATACATTTATGATCGGAAAAGCTAATGTTCGTAACGGAATATTTTCATTGTGTTTACGAGATATGTTGTTTGTTCTCTTCCCTATTAAGAAAGGATAATACAGATCTAATGCTTTTATTATAGAACAAGAGCCCGTGGAGGTAATACCGCTTTTGTATTCTACAACGTTCATTACTTCTATCGTGGGTTGCAAGCATACCCAAAAGAAAACGCAATTTGCACCAAACGTTTCGCAATTAACATCATAACGAACGCGACCCCCACTATTAGTTATTTCGGCTAGTACAACAGACCCCAGTAGACACATACAGTTTTCTTGAACAATGTCACTCTTTCAATCACTTGCAAGAAAAGAAGAACCCGAGAATCAAAATTAGACTAACGAATAACGATTTATTTTTAATAATAACCGATTGTTACAGAATTCCTTATATACTACTAAGCTTCAGGGGTTTACATTGTCGAATGCTACACAGTTTTTCCTAGCATTTAATCATGACGTAGGAGAAATAAACCCTATTAATTCCTGATTATATTCCTCAGCAGAATTCTTCCATGTCTAATAAAGCGAGTTTAGCTCGCGATATTTCTCACACGCAAAGTGTTCTGGCTTCCAGGTTTGGATCCCATCAAACTTTCTCTCTCGAGCTATTGACCTTCTTGTTATTATTATTATACTTTTATGCAATGATGTTTAGGTCAGAACGTAACTAGTCAACTGCTAGTGACTAGTGGGTTGGACTACAAGTCCTTTATCGGTATGATTGTTAAGATGTATTATAATTAGTTAGTATTCAGAAATTTAAGATTTTTTACTCAAAGTGGGGGAAGTTGCACAACAATTGTTAATATCGGGAGTAGCCGTCCCAAACTTTCTGCATATTAGACTCACGAGACAATCTGTGGCATGATAATTCGAACGCAAAACGTAAATAAATAATCATTAAATCCGAGACAAGCCAACATAAGGTTTTTAATCCCAACGAATGTGCAACTTAATTATAATTGTTTGCAAAATAAATCCAATATTAATATCGTATTAAACTTTAGTAAATACGATTCCGAACGACATTAGTTCCTATTTCTATATGCAAATCATAAGGAAAATAAAGTTAAATTTCTAAAAACATGGCAACCAAAATTAGCTATGCAGTCTGTCAGTTTGAAACGTTTTCGATAAGTTTATCACACGATAATGAGAAACAAATTCCTTCAATTTTAACTGGCAGGTATTAAAGCGGATGATACGTTTGTAGAAAATAGTTAAGCGTAAATTATTGATAAGACGTACAACGTCAGACAAAAAAAGGGTAAGGTTTCCAAGACAAGCAGTATTACAAATAAAGGTTTAATTAAAAACTTTATTCACGTGATTCTCGGCAAGTCCGTCATTAGAGGTCAGCCATTGTTGACAGACTTATCGAGACGACCACTGTGTAGATAGTAAGATATTATTACAGTTCTACAAAAATGCATACATATCACTGTTTTACGAAGGCATTTAAAATTGAGCGGTCATTATTAATTCTACTTTAATATTAAGTATAACAAACCACTAATATCTATGTTGCAAGAGATTGTGAGATAGAAAACCTCGAGATTGTCTCAAGACAAAAGAAAAGTTTTCTTGTGCGATGGACTCAATCCGCATCAAACACAATAAATTTATTATTTTCATTGTTGTACTTGCAGAAGAAAAAAAAGACTTACATTGCTACTCTTGCTGTTGATAATTCAAAAGTAAAAAGTAATATATAAAAAAAGTTGTAAATAACAGACAAAAGATCGTATTCTTAAAACCGATATTGCCTGACAAAGACCGAACATGACATTTCCTGCTTCGGCCAGCGCAATAAAAACTTGATACTCTAAAATGGGTTAGAGTGGACCAACAAACCGAAAGTACATATAAGGAAAAATGATTGTTATGGCCGAACCGGATATAACAAGAATTCAAGATCAACCACCTTACTGTTTATTCTATTTTTACACTATTTACATCCCAAATACGGGCAAAAAAAAAAGAAGCCAAATAATACAATGAGCGAAAATAATAGCAATAGTTCTTCTGCGAACAGAACGAGAGTAAGTTAGATTCGTTCGAGCTCAGAAGAAAGGTGTAGTTCTTTTTCATCCAAAAATGCAAGAAAATAAACTGCATTACTTAAACCTGCGCACGAGACAATATTCAAAGATGTAATTATTCCGGATATGGTCTGACGCAATGCTATAAATAAAACTATAAACAAAAGCGTTAGAATCTTGGAATTTTTGTTTGAGAACAATCTCCGATTACATAACCCAAATTTGCTACACATAATAATAGATGGGTTACAATGGTTGAAAATGACACAATGTGTAATTTTCAAGTTATCAACCACTCATATTAATATTTGACGTTACAAACCGGTTGTCACACGTGGGTTCTCCATGATTTGCGAAACTGTAGCAACGTTTGTGTTAGTGTCGTCATCCGGAGGTATGTACCGAGAATATGTTGTAATTGATACGCATTTTTGCGCAAAAAGTTAAAATTTTAAGACAATTGAAGGCTTTGAATCTCAGATTAAGTAGTGGGTCGTCTGGTGTCGATTCAATGACGCGAAAATTCTCATAGAAATAATATGCTGATCTTAATTGCGACAAACATTTGGCTGCTATTTAGAGAACGGGAAATTCACTAATGCTGTGTCAAATAGCAACAAACTTGAACCCACTTGAGCATGCGTTTTAAATTCAAATACGTTATTATTTGAAACTGTATATAAAATTTTTGTTCGTCACACGTGATCATTGTGTCATCAAGCGCTTGGCATTTATTCACTAACAGAAACCATATTCAAGAAAAAAAGTGCAAATTGTTC